CGCCTCCCCCCCTCGGCCCTGGCGGGGATCTCGCTTACCCGCGCGGCGCCCCGCGGCGCCTTCCCAGCTCCCTGAATTGGACGTCAGCTAATGCTTGTGTTAAAACGACCGCAGACGGGTGGCTGAGGAGTGATTAAGAGGGTCAGCATAAACATGGTTGAGTTAGACCAACGTGCGGTCTCCTAGAGATTTTCCCTCCAGCTGTAGGTGAAGATCTGGTTAAGCTTTCCTGCCTCATAATTTCAAAGATCAGAAACGTTTTAGCTGTAGTAGGAGCGGAATCAGTATATCTTGAATATCCTCTAATATCTTGAAGGCTTACCCATTCATTACAGTATAAGGTTTCTTGAATTCCTTAAGGTGCCTCTGGGCTTTAAAAGTATGGGTTTTCTCTCCCCCCACCCCCTCTTGGATAGAATAGTAAATTTGACATTCATAGCTGTGCAGAAGCTGATTTTAAGGCTTTCTTAAAGTTGTATGTTTAGAATTGGCACAACTATACATCTTACTCTTCCACAATTGTTTCTCAAATGCCAGATGTTTTAATGAAATGTGTGTGGTAATATTCACCTCTTATCCATCTAGCAAAATTGAACTCATCCTTTTTTTCTTTCATGTTGACTTGTTGGTTTTACATATTTTGAATGCCCTTTGAATCCAGGTATTTCATGGCATTTCTTTTGGATGTAGATATAACCATAAAATTCTCTGTACTAAATCAGCTGAAACTGTTTAGCATTCATTAGATTTTGTTATGGATTGAGATGTTGAGTGTCCAGCTTTTAATATTTTTTTCAGAACATATAATAGAAAAGAGAACAGAAGATTGTGAATGTACTAAGCAGCTTGTTTTGAGACAAATGCAGCCAAAGTATTTAAATATCCAAATTTGTCCTACATATGTGTATTTGAATACTAATGAAATCAGTTGAAACTTAGTTGAATCTAATATTGCTTTAATTTTAGTAAGAAAACATGCATTGCAGAGTGATAAAATATAATTTCTTCCCTGAGCTTCCATTACAGGGTAATCTGTGAGTATAATTGTAATTTCATTATTTACCATGTATTGAAATGTCTCTTAACCTTCTTGTGTGTGTCTCTGTGTTAACAACTTTCTTTTTGGTAAACTTCCATTTCTGTCTGTAGTGATTATTATTGCTTGAAACTTGTTTCTCAGGTAACAGGCTTATGGGAACAGCCCAAAAATGAGAGGTGTCCTCCTATTTGCAGCTTTCAGTAATGTTAACCTGGCATTCATTCAACTAATCATGACTGCTAGACATTAAGTATAATATTTTTGACAGGCATCAAATTCAGTAATTATTTCAGTTACATTTCAGAACAATACTATAGTAAAAATTATGGCAGTACAGACATAATTTATTACTGAGTATGTCATGTTAAGAAATGTGACATTTTTTGATACAGTGTATTTATACCAACCTTATTTTAGCTATTCACTTGTTATGAATTTTATGAAAATTATGTTCAGTCAGTAACAGTTAACTAAATATGTAGAGGGCAGAATTTGAGATGCATTTACATAGATAATCATTGATGAACAATACAGCTTTGCATATATAAATTGCACTTAAGTATAATACAAGAATTAAGTTTCTCTAAATGTACAATTTTATACAACACTTGTATAATAGTTTATAAATGGCAGTATATTTGTGAAATAAATGGTTAAGTTCCTTTCAGTAACTGGGATGGTTGACAAAGGGTGGTTGACAACATAATGGCCTGCTGAAACAGCTGGTGCTCTGCTGAGCTCTTAGTGACTTGATATATACTAGCAGTTGGTATACGTTTCTAACAATTTTTAAAGGATGTCATTAACTTAGTTTCTTCTCCCTCCCCAAACATAGCTGATGAGAAGACTTTTGTTGTGATGTTTCTTGCAGATTCCCTTTCAAATTAACTTTTTTATGCTTTTCATATATGTAAAGGTTTTGTATAGGTTGAAATTCTTGAATTATAAGCTTAATAACTATTTCTTCTCCAGTTAATGAGGAAATAATCTTTAAAATATATATGATCATTGTAAATAGATTAACAGAAATAATTTGCAAAAATCATTAAAGTTCTGCATGAAAACAATAAATGTAGATTTTGATGTAGATGCTGAAAGAATTAACACATCATGTACTGCACAATATATGTTTATCCTTGGATTAGGTTTCTGAGGTATTAAGGCAGAGAAAGTGTACATGATGAATTTAATTTGGAGGAAATTAAACAAAGTTTTTCTTATTTCCCAGTTTGAAACAATTTGATAAAGGGATTTAAATACATTCAGGATATCTGTGTATAACATAAATATATTAATTATCCCTCCAGAAATATGTAAGTGTGCCATGTAAGCCTTTGCTTTGCCTAAGCACTTTGATTGGAATTTATTTAAAATCCGTTTATTTTAAAAAGTCTAAAAGTTTCACATTAACAAAAAATGACTGAAAAGAAAAAAGTATTATGTAACTTTCAGTATAAATAGCATTTGTTATGTTTCTGCATTACATGTGCTTGTATTAATACAATTGCCTATAATCCTGGTATCAAGACTACTGTGGCATTTTCATGTTATCAGTGTATCTTACTCAGAATATTCCTGGCCAGTGATGGAAAATATCCTATGTATCCAAAAATGCACATTTTTAAATCTGCATGCAGATCTGTAATGTGTGATACGCTACTATAATGTGTGATTCACTACCACTGTGAATATAAAGTCTTTTTTACCCTTCAGTAAATAATCAAGTAGTTGGACATTCTTACCCAGATTCATCTTAAGAAAAACTCAGAAAGTAAATACTGTAATCCAGTTACATGAAGATTTAATAGTTGATTGGTGCTTAAGAAGAAATGGCAGTGCATTAGCACTAATAGCTTGTAGACAAAGCTAAACAATAACTTAAAAGTTGTGTATATGGCTAGCAGTTTGTGATTCTGGTACTTGATAAAGCATCATAAGTTAATTTCCTCAAAACATTTTTGCTGGCTATAATTGGAAGTAGGATACTAATCTCAGTGGATCTTTGGTCTGATTTATATATTTAGGTTTCAGTAATCCAATCAGGTATTCATAGTTAGCTTTTGTTTTTTTAAAAAGCATTCTAAAATAGGCTTATTATTGGAAACCGGTTATAAAAGTAAAATACAGTTACAGTAAACAGTAACATTTATTGGGTTACTTTCAGTTAATGCAGAAATAATTTCAACCTACAAGGTATAAATAATGCTAATATTAAAGCCTTATTTAGTGAATTGTAAGAACTGATTTCCTGTTCTTCAATAATTTACAAAAAAGGAGTAGTTGTGCCACTTTTTGCAACATCAATTACATTCCGTAAGAAATTATATCCAAATTGGGATTAGACAGTTCTCTTCAGATCAGTATAAATTTTTCTTCAAATCTTTGGATGATTTTTCAATCTTTAAAAATGCCTGCAGCAATTAAATAACATGGTTGATTTTAAGACAAATGTAGTTTTAATGGGAATGTAACTTCTGCCAAAAATTAGCTAGTTTATATTTCTAACCATTTTGTTTACACCTGTAGTAGTATATTGTCTTTACAGTGTAACAGTACCAATGAGAAGCCAAAAACATATAAGGAAAATGCCAACATACTATAGAGTAATAATATTGTTTGGTTGGTCTAAATAAGATACTATATTATATGCAAGGTTTGAACTTTAGTTTTATTCAGGCAGTCCCCGGGTTACGAATGAGATTCGCTCCTAAGTCTGTCTTTAAGTTGAATTTGTAGGTAAGTCTTCTTCCAGTCTTCTTCCTCAAATGCTATCATCTGCTGCTGTAGTTCCATAAGGTCTTCATTGGTCAGTTCTTTGGCATAGGAGTCGAGTAACTGATGTCTAATTGCAGTTGATTACCAGTATCAACCACAGCTTGCCTGGCTTTGGTGATGTTGTCAGCTGTAAATCCCAGAAAAGCATGCGTGAATTGGGGGCATAATTTGTCCCACACGCCTTTCATATTTGACTGCTTCACTTCATCCCAAGAATCAGCAGTATTTTTGATGGCATCGCAGATGTTCCTCCAGAACTCCCTTAAGCTCATCACATCATCTTGGGTAGCCCTGACTGCTTGTGAGAAGGTCTGGCATAAATAATAGACCTGAAAGGAGGCTGTGACTCCCTGATCCATTGGCTGTGGTGTTGGGGGGTTAAAATTCATCCTTACATTGGGGTGAAGGTCATCTAAAGTGCTTGGATGTCCAGGTATGTTGTCAAGCACAAGGGGCATCTTGAAAGGAATTTTCTTGGCCAAGCAAGAACGTTCAACAGCAGGGACAAAATGGCTCAGGAACCTGTCTTCAAAGATGGCAATTGTAACCCAAGCCTTTGCATTTGCCTTCCAAATAAGAGAAAGAGATGCCTTAATAATATGCTGAAATGCCCTCAGATTTAGGAAGCGATAAACACGCAAAGACTTGAGCTTGAAATCCCTGGTTGCGTTACCCCCAAGCAATAACGTTAGCCTATCCTTCAATGCCTTATGCCCTGGTGCACTTTTTCCTCTTTCAAAATGTAGGTCCTTTCAGGCATTTTTTCCAAAATAAGTTGGTCTTGTCTACATTAAATATTTGGTTTGGCAAATAACCTCTCTCCTCAATATTTTTTTTCAACATTTCAGGAAAATCACACGCAGCACTTATATCAGCACTCACTGCTTCACCTTGCACTTTAATATTATGTAAATTTGCCCTTACTCTGAAACAATTGAACCAGTCCCTACTCGCAAA